GCCAAGACACTGCAGCTCCGAAAGCAACCAAAATATTCTGGGAAGAGCACCCCCAGGAGAGTCAAGTTTGACTGCTCTGCCATCATCATGTTTTCCCGACTAGTGAGTGAGCCTTGAAGAAGGTGGAAGACAATACACTTGTGTTCATTGTGGATGTCAAGGCCAACAAGCACCAGATCAAACAGGCTGCAAAGGAGCTCTATGACATTGACGCGGCCAAGGTCAACACCCAGAGCAGGCCTGATGGGGAGAAGAAGGCCCGTGTTCGACTGGCTCAGTCGAACTGAGATGCTTTGGAAGCTGCCAACAACATTGGATCATCTAAACAGATTCCAGCTGGCTAATTCTAAATATAAAAATTGTTTTCACTGTAAAAAAAAAAGAAAAAAAAAGAAAAAAAAACCTCTGGGGGTGGGTCAAGCTCTCCCACAACTTGTTTATGCCATTTCTCTGATCGCATGTTAGCTGCAAGGCTTTCGGCTTCAGAGCTCAGTGACCAACCCGCTGGAGTACAGAGAAATAGTGTCCTTCTTGCAGGTCCCTCTAATTTATCTGTGATCTCGTGGGGTCCTTGCCACTAGGCTAGGGGGTGGGCGTCATTCCTCATGCCCTCCCTCATGGCGCGGTGGGGAGGGGAGAGATCTCCAGCACTCTCATCAGCTAAAAGCTTTCTGCCTTGAAAGCTCTCTTCGACCATTAATCTTTTTGAACTTCTAGTTTTCTGCTAGGTAGAGTGAAACCAGATGATGGGCAGCGTCAGATCCAGCTGGTTTTTAGCAAGTCTTAAATGAATGTGGGCACCGATTGCCCATTTTTCTCTGCTCTGAGTCTTCAACTGAAACTCCAAAGTGATGGAAAGTCCCAATTAACATCTTATTAAGCAGAGTTTTGTGATGAGTTGATGGATGTCTGTCCTCCCCACTAGAATTTTCCTCTACAAGGGCTCTATGTTTGCCTTCCATTGAACACCAAGACCAAGCATTCAGAATCTGGACTATGGGAGCAGCTCAGTCAATATGTAATCAGCTAATGAATAAAAAGGAACAGATGAAAGAGGAAGAAGACCAGGAACTGTATCATCGCAACGCCCTGGCTTGGAAGGACTAACAGAAGGAGTATCATTTGAGCAAGAGTAGATGTGGCAAAGATGCCCGAAGACTGGCTGCCCTTCTGAATTACCCACAGAACTCTTGAAAAATATAAATGCTCAGACCTGATTCAGTGGTGTGCTGATTCAATAGATCTAGCTGAAAATCAGTGCACTAAGGTACATGAGAGAGTCCAAAAAAATGTGCCAGGAGGAGTCATGGAACAGAAGGCTATATAACTGGTTGGGAGAATCAGGGAGACTTTCTGGCAAAAGGAGGACACGTGTGAACAGGTAAAGACAAGAGCATAGGAAACGTGGCTGGCAGAGACTGCAAGCCAGAGGAGATGATATAAACAAGGCACTAAGGCTAGAAAGAGATTAGATTCCAGACAGAGTCTAGTGCTATGGGACAGAAGAGTCAGGTATGCAATTCTCCCGGCTGCAGGCTGTTTGGATGCAGAAACCTTGACTTGTAGATGGCAACACCCTAGGGAGGGAACTGGGATAGAGGTCAGCTGGGCCAGCTGTGGGTCAGACCGCCTAGTTCCTTATCTATGGAAGGAAGATGATAACGTGACCCACCTGAAAGAGATAATGGTGTAATGTCTTAGCATGTACGTGTTCATTATATATCATTAGACCCTTCTATTTATACTCATTATAGTACCTAGAATTGGCACCTATGCCACCAATGGTGTGCTGAGTCAGCTGAGACCAGCTAGCAAGGGCCAATTCTGCACATATATCTTCCCAACTTTGCATTCAGTGAAGGTCATGTTCGTAGCTTAAAATTGGCCATGATGGGGTTATTTACAGCAAGTAAATGGACAGAGCTGTAAATCTGAATCTTTTTTAAGGGAACTAGTTTACCAGCACACTGTGAGATCCTCTGTGCACATGAATTATAATCAGTCTGTGTGGAGCTGAATTCAGTGGAAAAGTGAGTGGGATCTATGGGAGAACAAGGGCAGGAGCTAAGAGCAAACCGTTACCTGCCTGGGAAAAACGGACCAGAACCCTGGCCCTCGTAGGAATAACGAGTAAAAATGGAGTCTCACGTTTTACTCGAAGCCAATACGCCCTTCGGCATATTCTCCCACCCGCCACTTTTTACCACTGCCTCTAAAATAAGTGTGACAGTAATGGAGTGAAATAGTCACTAACAAGCTCTAGCTACATCTGAGGTCTGGATGCCCTGGAGACTATTCTGTGAAGGAGAAGAAGAAAAAGAAGATGAAGGAGAAGGAGGCATCCAGGAATATGTGGCTTTTAGCAAATTATCTGAGATTTAAAAAATAAAAAAGAAGTCAAATACTGCAGAACAAAAAATACTGTGACACTGTAATAATACAGGAAACCTTGACATCAACCACCGAAGGGAAGTTGAGGAAGTTGCAGAGGGCATATCAAAAGCAAATGTGTATACCCACAAATTGTATCAACACTTGGCCAAGTTAAAACAGAAAAAAATCAGAATATGCCTAACTGCCAGGGGTCAAAAAACAACTCATCCATCTGTAAGCTCTTTGACAGAGATTGTGCTGTTCTGAAGAAAGTAAATAGAAAAGCCCTTTAAGAAGAAGTCAACACTTTTAAACAAGTAAATGAACATATCCAAAAGCTAGAACATCTGACATTAAACTTGTAGGGACTGGAGTCTAGTTCAGCCTTGTAGAAGACTTCCATGTGGAGTGTGAGGGGATTGCTTAAAAGTCAGATAGTCAGAGCGCTCCTACACAGGACAAAATATTATTCCGTGACGTTATGTTAGGAGCGAGTGAATGAAAGCATTGAGCCTCTCTGAACTGCTTTGTGAGTTTAAGTTCAAATAGAGTCACGTCTGTTTTAGTTGCTAGGGCCCCACTTGCTTTTATGGCAGGCAGACTAGTCAAGAGTTAAATCCTCCCCTCCACGAATGATCTAGGAAGCCTAGGGGCTTGCCTCATCCCAAAGGGGTCATCCCTACTTTCACCCCAGCTAGAGAGTAGAAAGCAGAACCTTTGATTGTCTGCTCTCCCTGTTGCTTCAGTTGCCACCAAATGGTGACGCTCTAGTCAAGCACAATCCGGTAGATGCTCATGCATTTGTAGGGGATGTTTTTGATGATCCCAGGATTAACCCGTCATTACCCCTTCACTAGTATAATGACTCCTAGTTCACCACCATGTTTTCAACTGTCCCTCATGGGGTAGCTGCTATGACAGAATGACTGAAAGCAGTCAAAGTTTCAGCCCCATTCACATACTGTACCAAAATGGACCACCCCAAAATCCTTTAGGTCTTTTTACCCAGATTCCCACTTACCTCCTGGTCAATTCCATCCTGTGGTCTACAGTGTTTTATTTCACAACAAGCTTTGAAACAGGCCAACCCCATTGTCCATTACTAATTTCCCTAAATGTACATCATGGAAAGAAAAAGCTGGACCCTTGGTTCCTTTCTATTTTAAGGGCCTAGATGCTTTAAGCAGATAATCTCAACCCCTCTCTAGCAAAGGGTGCCTGAGAGGAAAAACCTCCATTGAACCACTACCAAATCCCTCCTTTTGTGTTTTGTGTACAGCACGGAAAGAGTCATTTGAGTGATTTCTCTCCGTAAAAACAAAAGTAGGCTTTCAAGGAGACTTGTGTCTCTACCTTGATGCACGGAAGTGGCTGATGCCATTTTTTGACACTCTGTCTCGTGAGGCACAAGTAGTCCGTGAGAGAATAGTAAGAACAGTGAGGAGAACTAGAAATAATCAAGGACAACCATTTCATCTGGAGAATGAGAAAAACCCGGGACTCTTTCTGATGCAGGTCCTACTCTGTAAAATGGTGGTTACCAGGCAATGAGGGTGCGAGGACAGCATGATTGTCTTCCAGGGTACAAGCTTATAAAAAGCAGTAAATAGGCCAGAAAGGTTTAATGCACAGGATAATGAGTATAGACAATAATATTGTACTATAATTATGTAATGTAATGGTGCGACAGGGGCAATCCTATTACAATATATAAATTATTTCGAGGTGCCACCCTGTCCATCTTTAACTTATGCAGTGTTACTTGACAAATTTATTTCACTTAAAAAAAAAACTTTATTTGGCAAAACCTGTGCTTCACTTCTGTGTTCAAGGAATTGTTTTTACCACCCTATGATGGCACTTAGAGTTTGGACAGCCAACAGATTCTAAAGACGTTCTCCATCTCCTCCGGATGCAGGGTGGGGTGGCAAAGGCACACAGTAAAGCCTTTGGGGATGGGGAGCCCACCACGCTTCCTGGTCAAATGTGCGGTCAGTGTTCACTCCCTTACTTCGGAAGTACTTCTTCCGATTCGTGTTCTCAATGGCTTGAGAAGGATGGTGGGGAAAGCAAGGTCATAACAAGAGTTTTCAGTCCCTTCATTTCCATGCATGGCATCATGCATAATATAGTGCTGTTGCTAAGGAGGCATCTAAGTACCTACTGGAAGGAAACAAAGGAACTGATTGCCTCGAAGACGAGTCATCACGGGATTTTGAAGAACTGTTCAGCCTTTTGAGGTGTTAAGATCAGTTCTCTACAGCAACAAAGACATATGAGCCTGCTAAGAATATGCAATTATGTATCCCTTCGGCAGAGGACAAAGAAAACGTCACTGGTGTATTCATGCCTTCGCTTCATTTTGCAGCGTGTAGGACCAGAGGCCATTTTCCTGACTCGGTTATCACATTAGGGACATCGCCCCCTGTCGCTCCCCGAGACGCCGCCCTGTGCCCAGGGTCTGAAGACTGTACCTTGCAAAAGCTCTCAAAGAGGAAATGACTCTTTTTTTTTCTAAGTCGACGACTGATTTCCAGTCAGTGAGTAATTTTTTTTTTCCTGAAACATCCACTCAGTGGAAAACACATGAAGGAGGGGAAAAAATGAAGCAAACAAATCTGAAAAAGAGGCCACGACACACAGAGATGGAGGCGCCTCTAAACTTTGTCAACAAAAGCAGACGCTTAAGGTTTATGTCAAACAAAACCGTCATTTTAACCCACCCCTGGCTGCACCTCGCTCCGTGAAGGACTTCCAGGGCCTCTGACTCTTTGGGACTAAAGGAGAAAATTATTTTTAGCACAAGTATTTGGAAACTTCTGAGAACTTGGATCTGTTTTTCTACGTGGTACCAACGCAAGTTTCTCGCTGAGCTCTCATGCAAGACTCTTGGTCTCTTGTGGATTTAGAATCCTGGAGCGTCGCGCCATCCCAGAGCAAGGTATGGTGTTTACTCTTTTTGTTGAGAATTTTGGCAGCTGTGGGGACCGTGACTGTATCATTATGGTAGCTTTTGGGTGTATTACGTAGACGGGTCTGTAAGAGGAATCCATGAAACTGAAGACCTGGGTTCAAATCTCTGGTCTGACACTGGCTGTGTGGCCATGAAGAAGTTTCCCGACTTCCCTGAACAACCTACCACGAAAGGGTCTTTGGGAAGGAGATACAGACCTAACATTGCTCTGTTGACGACAGCATGTTTGACAAATGTCAATATTTCTCACTGGCATACCATCGTAGCCCTTCACAGAAAGCAGCCGATGCTGTTGATAAAAATAAATATGGATGAATGAACATTTTTCCTTGATTCGAATTTTGTTGAGCATCAACTGTAGACCAGCCTCTGTCCCAAATGGTGGCGATGTGGAGTTTATATGTTGGTGGAGGAAAAGCATGCCCGCAGCCACAGCACAGGGTAGTGTGTGGTCTTGTGGGAGATGTGGGCACAGGAAAAGGGGCGGTCACTCGGGGCCTACGGGAGGAGCAGGTCGCAGGAGGAAAAATGGAACCTCGGGGTCAGATACGAGGAGCCACAAAACACAAGCTCTGGGGCTCCAGTGCCTAAGGTCCCCCCATCCTGTGTCCCTCACAGTGCCACCCCTCATGCCGCCAGAGAAGGAAAAGCCTGCGATTGTGAAATCTCCCCTCCGCAGGCCAGGGATCTGACTCGCTTTGGCTGCCCCTGGTTACCTAGCCTCTTCCTAATCATTTCCAGGCAAAACACATTTTCAACTTGAATTAATAATCAAGTCCAGCCCTCTGTCATGAAGTCATGTTCTAGTTTCCCTCCCATGAAACAGGGGAGAACTGAAGTATCTGCAAACAGAAAGAGCTCAGTTCAAGTCCTTTGGAGCCATGTTTATGGTTGGGTGGACTTGGGCCCTCAGTCCTGGTGTTCTCGTTTGTAAAATAAAACGTTGTCTTTAAAACGCCTAGCACGGAAATAAGAAAACGAATATGTCTTCTTCATCCCCATGTTTAGTATTTTAATTGTGGTAAAATATACATAATGTAAAATTTGCCGTTTTTAAGTGTGCAGTTCTGCGGCATTAAGCACGTGCACCCTGTTGTACAACCCCCCCCCCACCCCCCCCCCACCCCTCCCCACCCCTACCCCCACCCCTACCCCATCCATCCCCAGAGCTTTTCACCCTCCCAGCTGAGACTCTGTCCAAGCTAAACACCGACTCCTCTCCCCCGCCCCCCAGCCCCTGGCAATCGTCAATCTACTCCCTGTCTGCAACTGTGACCATTCTGGTTACATCACGCAAGTAGAACCATTCAACCCTAGTCAGCACAAAGTCTTTAAGACGCTTCCGTGCTGCAGTGTGTGTATCAAAGCTTCCTTCCTTTTAAAGGTGGACCAGTGGTCCACTGTAACAAGTCTACACCCTATTTGCTTTATGCACTCACCCGTCGGAGGGCACGTGGGTTGCTTCCACCTTTTGGCTAGTGTGAATATTGCTGCTGTGAACATGGGTGTGCAGGTGTTTTCTGAGTCCCTGTTTTTACTTCTTTGGGGTGTATACCCCACAGTGGAACTGTTGGATCTCACGGTAATTCTGCATGAAATTCTTGGAGGAATCTCCATACTGTTTTGCACAGCAGCCACGCCATTGTACAGTTCTGCCAACTACAGTTTTTTTCCAGTTTTACAGAGATATAATTGACCTATAGTATTGTGTAAGTGTAAGGGGTACCATGTGAAGGTTTGACACCCAGTCTCTCGTGGATTTATAATCGTAACTATTCTGAAATGATTACCACAGTCAGATTAGTGAACACATTCATCACCTCCCATAACTATCATTTTGTGTATATATAATGAGAATATTTAAGATTTACTCTCTCAGCAGCTTTCAAGGATGTCATACAGTACTGTCCATGAACGATGCCATGCTGGACATTAGATCCCCCAAACAGAGCCAAACAGTGGCCAAACCCCAGTTAACTGGGAGTTTGCTGGGACCAATATCTCCCCCTTTCTCCCACCCCCTGAGCCCCTGACGACTGCCATTTTCCTCCATGTTTCTGTGGTTTCAGCTGTTTAGATCCCACATGTAAGTGATATTATATAGTCTTTTTCTTTCTGTCTGATTTATTTCACTTGGTATATGCCTTCAGATTCCATCTGTTTTGTCACAAATGGCAGGATCTCCTTCTTTGGATGGCGGAATGGTGTTCCTTCGTATTTGTGCTGTATTTCCTTTACCCACCCGTCTGTCGGGAGCCCCCCAGGTTGTTTCCGTCTCGGGGCTGTTGTGAACAATGCTGTGTGGACATGGGAACACAGAGAGCTCTCCAATATTCTGTTTTCGTTTCTTTTGGCTAAAAACGCAGAAGCGGAATTGCCGGATCACATGACAGTTCTATTTTTAATTCTTTGAGTTGTTTTTGAGCAGTCATACTGTTTTCCTGAGCGGCTGTGCAAATGCACGAGGGCTCCCCTTTCTCCACGTCCTCATGAACGTTTCTTATCTCTTTTTGGTAACAGCCATCCTGACGGGTGCAAGGTGACATCCCGCTGTGGTTCTGATCTGCCTGTCCCCGATAATTAGTGACGCCCAGCCTCATTCCACGTAGCTGTCAGCCTGTCCCCTTTGGGACAATGTCTGTTCGGATCTTTTGCCCACGTTCAATCAGGTTATTTATGCTTCGCTCTTGAGTCGTGTAAGTTCCTTATATGTTTTGGGTAGTAGTGCCCTCTCTGGTCGGTGGTTTGCAAACATGCCCTCCCATCCTGTGGGCTGCCTTCTCCTTTCGTGGGTGGTTTCCTTTGCTGTGCAGAAAGTTTTATGTGTGTGGGAGCCCCAGCCGTTTATTTTTGCTTCCGTGGCGGTGCTTTCGTGTCGTATCCAAAAACGTTGTTGCCAAAACCGATGTGAAGGATTTTTCCCTGTTTTCATCTAGAGGTTTTGTGGTTTCAGGTCTCACTTTTAAGTCTTCAGTCAATTGCAAATTCCTTTTTTGAGTGGTGTAAGTTAGGGGTCCAATTTCGTTCTTTTGCATGTGAATGTCCAGCTTTCCCACCACTGTATACTGAAGAGACCACTGGTTTTCCGTTGAGTATTCTGGGCTCTCTTGTCAAATAACACTTGACTGTACATACGTGGGTTTGTTTTATTTTTCTAAATAAAGGGGAAAATGCTATTTATAAAGGGATCTTGATCTGTGGACACATTTTCTAGAGGTTCCCTTTTGCACTGATTTATTTAGTATTTCTCCAAGTGTCTGCAGGGGCTGGTTTAGCAAGAACAAAGGTTCCATCACAGAAGGAAAAAAAACACCTTGCAGAACACTGTATACCACATGCCTGCCCTGTGAATCCAAAGCACACATTAGCACACAGGTTCTGAAACCTACAGTACCACAAAGTAATTTTTTCAGTATGTGCTTAAAAAACTAAATACCAGTTACTTTGTAATGCCTACTGAAAAAAGCAAAGAGAGGGTCATTTACAATGAACATCAAGGACAGATCCGTTCAAGAGTGCCAATATTTCCAGAGCTTTGATTTTCTAACTCCAAAGAAACATAACAGGGGGAGAAAGGCCTTTTAGCACACATTCTATAAATCTGCATAATTCAATGTAATCCTTCAAAGCATTTTGTATGAGAAGTGACTGCTAATGTGTAGGAGGGTTTTTTGAAGTTTTGAAAATGTTCTAAAATCAGATTGTGGGGTACACTGAGTTGTATCCTTTAAGTAGGTCAATGTTATGCTGTGTAAATTAAATCTCAATAAAGCTGTTTAAAAACATTGTAATTTCTACAAAGCCATGACACACACAGGTCAGTCCCAGCCAAAATAACCAATTAATTGCAAACCAGTGGGACAGTGAGGGAAGGATGAATTATTCAATATAAGTTGTTGAAATATAAAATTGGGTCCCTACCTTACATACCTCATCAGAAAAAAATGCTAGTGGGTCAAATAATCTTGAAATAAGGAAGTTTTTATAGACAGAAGACATCGAACCTAAAAATGTGTTTCCATGATAAAAATATTTTTAAATACATGAACAAAATAAAAAAGGCAAACTAGAAAGCACTTTTTACTGCTCATGTCATAAACCACATGCAAAAACTATATATATGGTGATGTTCATTGAACCCTATGGAGATACTCCTCACTCTATTATTAATAACAGTACAAGAATGAAAATATCCCAAATACCCATCAGTAGGAGACGGGTTAAATACAACACACCCATGCGATTGGTATGCTCTAGCCTCTAAAAATAATGAGGCGACGCTGTGTACACCGCTCACAAAAAGATCTCCAAGATGTGAAAAAGCGAGGTGCAGAAAGGGGCACGTGCGACGTGCCAACACGGGGAGGAGGACACGTGAGACAATAGCAGCCGTGTGGCCTCCGGGAAAGGAGACTGCGTGCCCCTCTGTACCTTGCTGTCGAGACACTGAGAGGAAGAAGAAATGTATCTTTTTCTGCGAACTCTAGTTTTTAAATTTATGAATGTACACGTTCTGCCCATACAAAAATACATGTTTAAAATGTTTTTAAATGCTCTAGACTATGAACAATGAAAACAACCCAAGTCTTTCACTTGTATTTCTCAAACTCTGCAAAAGGAATGTTCCTTTAAATCCTCCCCTTCCTCTTTCTTGTGATACTGTCATGTTCCATTCTCTCTGGTTGTCTTTTTTTTTCCCCCCGGCAAAAATCACATTTTCCACAAAAATAAAAACCTTCTCCTCTGTCCCTAGCCTGAGTTTCGGTGCGTGCCAAACACTGTTCTAGACAGTTGGAGACGTCAGTGGCTCCAAGATGCGGCCTCGTAGAGCTTTCCTCCTAGCAGAGGGGAATGTCCGACATAAAAAAAAGAACAACAAAGATAAGAATAATCTAGTGAGTTGCAGGGAGATAAGTACAGTTTGGAAGAGGAAAAGTCGGCAGGGGGAGGGAGGGTCGGAAGGTAGGGGAAGGTGGATTGCAGTGTTCAGCAAGGTGGTAAAAGTCGGCTTTAATGAGAGGGCGGTATTTCAGCCAAGAGTCAAAGAAGGAGAGGAGAGAATGAAGCAAGCAGACATCTGGGGGACCGAGTACTACACAGAGGGAAACGACCAGACCGAGAGCAAGTATGAGGATGCTAAAGCAGAGCACTCTTGGCATCTTTGAGGAACACCAAGAAGTTCAGTGTGGCTGGAGCGGAGCAAGTGAATAGGAGAAGAGTAGAAGATGGATTCAGGGGAGAAGATGGCTTGGTGCCCAGGGAGGAAGTAAGCTTGGTGCCCAGCCAAGAAGGGCCTTATAGACCATCCACCATTGTCGCTGAGCTCACCCAGACTGTAAGCGAGCAGACCGGCCCGTCCATCTGCCACCTTGGCGAACGACCCAACAATTAATGCAGGATGGAGCAGAGCTTTATTTACAACATACCAACCTTGGGGCGTGCTCAGAGCACCTCAGCTCGGAGCCCTCCTGTCCCACAAGACCTCACACTTCTCATGCTCCCCATAAGACTGTAAGCCAGAACCCCCAAAAGGTTCCCATATCCTTATCTGTGCAGAGTCTGGGATACGTTGCCATCAGCCTCCATATAATAGTCCAGGAAAGAATGTTCTCTATCACTCTGGATCATGGTGACATTCAGGGAAGGGCACAAGTCTTACCAGTCCAGATGAAGTCCAGGTCTGCAAAGCAGCACCTTGCAAAGAAGTCCTTTGCAACTCTGGAGTCAGCTAGAGACAACACAATCACGGCAGCAGTGCACGGCCTAATCCCTCGCTACAGACAGCATGTCCATGCCCTCACTATTACTCCCTGCATGGCCTAGAGCGCTTCCCCTTCCCAAGCTGCATGGTCAGGAGAGCTCTGCACAGCTGCTACGTCATTGTGCTTTTCTTCTCCAAGCCGCAGGCCAGAGAGAGAGCCCTCTCATGACTCTCCTACTCCCTTCCAAGCCACATGGTCAAGAGAATGAGGCTGCCCTACGCTTGAGTTTAAATCCCAGCCTGCCCTTCCTCTGTAACCCCACTTCCAACTCCTCCCACAAAGGGTTACACTGGCTCATCCTCTCGTTTCTTCTGCCATTCTCCAGCTGCCATTGTTAATCTGGGCAGGCATGGCTCTATGATGCAGGGGAACCTCCTTCCTGCTCTCGTACAGGCACAGCCGGGGGAACTGTCCCTGGGCTACATCATGGGTTGAAGTCATACCCAACTCCCTTGTCCCCAGCGCAGCAGTCTAACTATTTAGCCAACGCTGTCCAGCAGTTATTGATATGCAAAGTACCTGTCAACCAGTGTGTCTGCTTCCGCATGCCCCTAGTGATGGCTTTGGGGGGTTTTCCTGTATTCCTGGACACCCCAAGTTCTGAACCTCATTCCATACCTGTTTACCATCAGGCTTTTGACAGGCTTTTAAGTGAAATAAGAAAGCATTACAGGGTGATGCCACTACAGTTTTCCATTTTAATCCATCCCCATTTGTCATCCTGATGAACTGAGTCCAAAAACTGGACCAGCCACTCAGAACCACACCATCATCACTCATCAGGCACCAGAACACATTGTTCCTTGATTCCGATGAGGATTGTTAACAGATAATCATTTTGAGTGCCTTTCAAAAAATTCCCACTGAGGATGCTTCCAGCACTTAGACTACTGTACAGGAAATATTCTAGTGCACTTGTCCATGAGAAGCAAACTATTCATTCTGCAAATGCATCTGTTCCCATTGCATTAACTTACTCCTCCTTTGAGTACCTCATGCCTGGCTATTGAAAATAGTAATACCCCCAGTTACAAGCGCACCTAAAATTTCTGCTTCTTCTGTCCACCATAACTGAGACCCTCACTGCATGCTTCTTCGTAGACTGATCGCTGATTCACCTTTTCGTCTGTGTCTGAGATGTCACTGCCCAAAGTGACTTCTTTCCAGGTCATTTCAACTCCCTCTTTGAACCAACTCCTGGCCTGAGCTACAGCATCACATCCTACATCTGCAGGTTAACAGCTTTTTTATGACTATCTTATACGAGCATGTTTTCAAATCCCTTCTCAAAGCCTCCTCTGATTAGTTTTTTACAGCAATGTAATTATTGCATCTTTTCTTAATTGTGGCAGGAAGTGGAGATAGAAGGCTCTTTCATTTCCTTCATCTGACATGCATGTGGATAGCTGTGTTTTTAGCAGATCTACTAGACTTCAGAAACTGCCTTAATCCAATTTGAGCCGTAGAATCAGTAATCTTGAATATTTTTATTGAATTTATTGGGGTGACATTGGCTAATAAAATTATATAGGTTCCAAGTGTGCAATTCTACTTGGGCTTGTGCTGTATAAGAAATCAAGCATGATAAAGGTGTTGATTGGGGGGGAAAGGGCCCACTGGTAACATGGAAATGTGCTCAAGGAGACAGAGCCTATATTTGGATAAGTTGCTTCAGTTTTTCACGAATCAGATTTCTAGGAACCAGATCTATTTCAAATCACATGTGCACACTGTTTTTCTTGGTTTGTCATTCCTATGATCTGGCAAATTTCTGGGTCTAATTCCAAGATGTTGCAATTTCCCCATGGGTACCATAAAAGTGGTACAGTGCGCCTGGTTCATTTTCTGATGTGTCTGTCCAAAGAAGCAAAGAAACTTGATCTGATTGCTTCCCTTACATTTTATAATTTTCTCCTTGGGTAAACATATATCAGGCATATACATCAAGCATTGCACAGACTTCCTGTTAAAGCAGAGGTCCAACTATCTAAAAACTACTCATTCATGTGGCCCCCGAACAATACATATACATTCTGCCAATCCAAGACACCACTAATGCTAAGGACATTTAGCGTAGAAAATCAGGTGTCCCCAACCTACACTGCACACCCTCCAGCCTACATGCCAAATGGCATGACAGTAAACGACCCATCACCCTCAGCTGCCAGGCTTAAGAGGGGGAGAAACCAAGTCCTACCAGATCGTAGCTGAAGCGACCTGTTGCCTGCCTCGCTCGGAGCACCTGGCACTATGCACGCTTTGACTTTGCTCAGCTCTTTAATGGGGCCCCGGTGCTGACAGCTTAATGGGACACCATGGCACTGTATCCTGCAGATTTTAAATTAAAGTCTGGGCCCCCCTCAGGACATGCAGAGTGCTCCAGTTAACACTAATTGGCACTGCACATGCTTTTTTAGTGAAAAACATGGTTTTCCTAAAAATTCCACTTTCTTTATCCTGCTTTAAAAAGCCCAGAAATTCTGAGAAAACCACCAGGGATGCATGCAAAGATTAGATACAAGGATTCTAGTACGGTGTATATATTGGCAGAGAACTGGAAAGAACTGTCTATAGTGGGGAATTCTGTCCATAAACGAAAGTAGAGACAAATCAAATCCAACAGTTACTTTAATATTATGAATAATTTTTGACGTGAGCAGGAGCTTGTGATATATCGTTAAGTGAAAAGAGTTGGGGAAGAGCATGAATGACATGATACCACTTTTCTTCTTTGGCATAGAAAAAAGACAGGAAGGATGTAGATATCAAAATGTGAAGACATTATCCTCAGGTGGTGAGAATAATGTTGATATTTATATTATTCATTTGCATCCCTAGTTTTAAAAAAAAAACTCATTACTTTGGCGAAAAGAAAACATTGTTTAGCAAAGTCCATCGATGGTTCCTGCAGAACTATGCAACAAAGGGATTTAGTATGAAATTTTTTAAATCAATCCTTCATCTCCACCAACCCTGTGTGGGGCACTCAGAGCTCCCCACCAATGATATGTTGATAGTTTCCAGCAGAATGATGACAGCGAACAGTGGTTTCTCACCTTCGTGGAAAGGTGAGCACTGAAGACACTTGTTGCAACTGCTCATTCTCCTGCTCATTTGCACCAAAAGCCCCACCCCAGAGGATGCATTTATGTCTTGTGTGTTTTTCTTGCAGAGCCCAAGATGTTTGTCTTGCTCTATGTTACAAGTTTTGCCATTTGTGCAAGTGGGCAACCTCGGGGTAATCAGTTCAAAGGAGAGAACTACTCCCCGAAATACATCTGTAGTATCCCCGGCTTACCTGGACCTCCAGGCCCCCCTGGAGCAAACGGCTCCCCCGGGCCCCACGGTCGGATCGGCCTTCCTGGAAGAGATGGAAGAGATGGCAGAAAAGGAGAAAAAGGAGAAAAGGGGGCTGCAGGTAATGAATGATGAGGCTCTGTGAAACATCCCCTCCTTCACCGCACATGAACACTGCCCCCTTTCTTTGTTGCTTTTTCTCGTGGGAACCGTTCCTGAAATCCCTCCTCTGCGTCACCGCGGTTACTCCTAACAGTCGCTTGCACCTTGACTAGGCAGCAGGCTCTGCTCCCAACCCTGTGTGTGCATTCTCATTTCATTGTAGTGGCACCTCTTTCAGGCGGAAACCCTCCAGTTTTATAGATGAGCATACTGAGCAATGCCGCGGTCCCGTGAGTCACTGAAGACGGAAGGGCACTGCTAGTGACTGGCAGAGCTGGATTGCCAGCATTGGGTGTCGTGCCCACTGCACTGCTACAGCCAGCAGGCAGTGGCTGTGTGTGAGATGGCACTGTGGATGGCCAGACAGATGGACAGGAAGGGAGAGGAAACAGAGGCAGAGTTAGGAGCCAGAAGCGTGGGTGCCATCCTGCTCTGCACTGACACCCTGAGCAAAGACACACAAAGGGCTTCTGGGTTTTCTTTCTGAAAGATGAAGTGACAATGGCAAAGGACAGCATACCTCTGTCCCAGTTTATCACTTCCCACCTGTCCTACAGCAGCGAGGAAAAAAAAGATTTCTTAAGGCTCTTTACAGCAACACAATGTCCCCTAGTCTTTCAGTAATTTTCACGTTTTTCTGACAAAAAAAAAAAAAGTTAGCCCAGGAAGCTTGCCAGTTTTTGCAATCCTTCAGAGTAAAACGAATTAAAATTCTAGAGAGGCCATGTTCACCCTGAAAGAGGAAGCGATTTGGAATCAATCTTTGAAAACGTGTTTCTAAGCGTAAAAGCTGGGACAGAAGATAGGCAGAACATGTCAATAGATCTAAGAAATGGGTCTCTCTGTAGTCACGGCACCTTGTTTTGTCCTGTTCTGTGAAACAATGTAATATATATTCAAATTATTGGCTGATAATTCATTTCTGAATTTGTCACGCACCGCGTATTTGGCAAATGAGCAGCTACCGAATCATAAGTATTGTTCAACATTAGATAAATAATCTTTATGTAGAAGTTCAATATCACATTAAAAAAACATTAATTTGGAAATTAAATCTTATCTTTCAAATCCTTCTCTCCAGCAGCACCTACGAGCACCACTCACTGCTGTGTCATGGTCATGAGTACCCTTGAAATAACATGAGGATCGTAATTAGGTATTAGCAACCCTTTCCGTTTACTGTGCCTGGAAGCAATAATACAGTGATTACACAAACATGCCTTGGAGTCAGCAAGGCTTAGGATAAAATCTTGGCTCCTTTGGTTACTACTTAGTATCATGGGCAAATAGCCTCTTTGAGCCTTGTTTTCCTCATTTACAAATGAGGGATAGTAAGGGTGACTGGGAAGATTAAGAACAATAATGCATGTAAAACATGCAATAGAGTAAGTGCCATGTGGTAAGCATTCGGTAAATGTTAGCTGCTGTTACTTAAGACATTGGGATCTGCAAATATGAGTCACAGCTAAGTTCGTGAATACTCAAAGCTACATAATAAACTCGAAATGAGTGATCTGGTTTACGAAGTAGTTCTAGTGCTATATTTAAAGACATGTTTATGGGTATACATTCAGGTTACACCAGGTGTTCATAATTGCTACCATTTTAACCCTGTACAAGGCCAGCTACACGCCCCCATATTCATCCATCCATATATTCATTTATCCACTCACACATTACTCATTCCACAAGACTGTTGTACACCTATTGCTATCCACAAGTGTTCTCGACGAGGGTTTTGCAACCTCCACACTAATGACACTTTGGACTGAATCATTACTTACTGAGGGGTGATGACCCTGTGCACTGTACGACATGTAGCAGCACCCCACTACATCCCAGTGACGCCCCCCCCACCAACTGTGATGACCAAACATGTCTCAACGTTACCAACTCTCCCTTAGCAGGCATTGCAAAATTGCTCCTGGTTCTACAGGAGCAAATTGCTACAGTGTTCTCCTGTTCTGGACGCTGAGAACACAAATCGGAATATGACGTTGTCCTTCCTTACTAAGCAAACATTTGGGTATGGGAGGTCAATACGGAAAAACACAGTCACAGTAGTATATCATCATCGTCATCACCATCACCATCATCATAACCATTTCTTAAAAATGTAATATACCTATGTGTCAGAAATTTTACCTTTAATACTTATTGTCCACCATAATCCTATTAGCAATTATTATAATCAGCCACACTAGTAAGGTTACAAATGAAAAAAATGGAGATTTAAAAATAAAATGACTTTCCCAACCTGAGATTGTTTAAATCTGGTATCCACATATCCATTCGTGAGAGTATGCACCAGCTAAGAGAGGAAAAAGTAAGAATGCCTGCCTTTGCGGTGGATGAAGAGAAGCACCCCTTACTTACAGACAAGAGCCACGGAGTCCTGGGGCTTGGGGACACGCTTTGAATACGGCCGGAGGATGACACACAAAGCTGGGAACTTCTTCTCCCTGTCCCCACCTCTGTGACCCCACACGAGTCTTCTCATCCACACACCTTTGGGGAACATCCCCACCACATTTACCCCAACCGCGTGCAAGCAGAATCAGCGTAATCTTTTGTTTAATTTCCCTATTCTAAAGTACAAACACATGGCTTATTATACTGAATTGTCAATTTTCTGTTAAAATATTTGTTTCCTTCACTGGTCTATAGCAATTACTGTTGTAGCATATTATTCACATTGAATTTAAATCTGCATGTGTATCCACATAAATATCTTCAAATAACAGGAGAACCCCCTGATGAAATGGGTAATTCTGGTTTATTTCATGGCTTTGGGTATTACGAACTTAGCTGAGATCCTTATTTGCAGATCACAGTACAACACACGGGAATAGCGAACTTGAAGGGGGAACAGGTGGCATTCATGGCGATGTCTCACTTAGCCCCTGGTACCCTGCCCGGCACACAGCAGATGGTCAGTCGGCATGAGATGGTTTAGGCGGATGCATGCACGCATGCATAAATCCCTGGATGCATGGGTGGGCGCATGGATGGATGGAAGAAAGAAATGGCATTAAAAAATCTTTGTAAGCCCACATCATAGAGAGTTAAGAAGAAATCCTTTCTCTCCAAGCTTCAGTACCTAAATGCAGATAATACTTTCTCCACGATTCTCTTCTCTACACAGTCATGTCTGAGTAGGGAGAGGGAGGATGATCTATCCCTTCTTTCTACCCTCAGTTAATTGGCCCTGAGCACAGGGGTAAATCCGCATGCAAACAGGAAGAATCATTATAAGTTATTGTAGCTGGTCCCTGATTATCTAACTCCCAGCAGTTTAGCATAGTCAATAACTACAAAAACTCCAAAGACTGAGCCCTGGCTGGTGTAGCTCAGTGGATTGAGCGTGAGCTGTGAACCAAAGTGTCGCAGGTTCGGTTCCCAGTCAGGGTACATGCCTGGGTTGCAGGCTATGACCTCCAGCAACTGCACATTGATGTTTCTCTCTCTCTCTCTCTCTCTCTCTCTCTCTCTCATTCTCTCTCTCTCCCTCCCTTCCCTCTCTAAAGATAAATAAATAAAATCTAAAAAAAAAACTCCAAAGACTGAAATTGTGAAGACCTTTTTATTGTAAAATCACATCTTAGTATTTATGGTTTGATCTCAAAGAATTTCCAATAGGATGAGACCTCCAGTGACCTAGTCCAATACCTTCATTTCAGGGTCTGAGAAACTAAAGTCAGAGAGAGGAAGCCCCTTTGTCAAGTTCACTCCACTCACAGCTGAACTAGATTTTATGGCTAATCCGCTGAGTCAGTTTACTGCTTTTCCCACCAGGTTTGAAAGGGATTAGGATCTAATTTCTTCATATTACAAATGGAGCATTTGGAACTCAGACAAGAACTGACTTGCCCAAAGTTATGGAGAAAAAAGGATTTGAGCACATAGTGAAATTTAGTGGTCAAGTTGTTACTGATGCCAAAATGTTTTTTTTTAATTAATGCATCAAAAGTCACTGAGGAAGATAGCAAAACTTAAGCTGCTATTGAAGATAAACTTATAATTTAGAACTTGTCTTTGACTTAAAAGTTAATTTATTAGCAAAATAATGCTCATGTTCTACTTCTTCCAAAAAAAAGCAAATATTGAAATAGCAGACTATTATAAGCATATTTCAAGAAATAAATACCAGATTGGGTTCTGGCTGGAGTCAGTGGAATTTCAATTTAAAAACAAATGTCATCTACATACAGCTAAAGAACAATTCTATGATCAGTAATTATGCTGATCTCTGTCACAAAAAAAATTGCTTTCATTATTAGCATCTTTTGTGCACCACAAATTGGCAAGCAACGCTTTTCCAAAATTATAGAAACAAAATATCTGATGTTTTAAAAGTAGGTTTTATTCTTTGCAAATTTACAATATCCAGAATGCTTATTGCTACATTTTCCAAATAAATGAAATGTGATCAAACTCCTACACTGATGCTTATGTAATATTCAAATAAATGATATCAAGGCACTATCAAGATAAAAACACTTAGCTTAATAAAAGTTCCTGAGAATAAACTACACAATTTGTCAACAATATATTTTCCCTGACTACAAAAGTACATTATAAATAACCAACAATTTGAATATTTTTGAGAAAGTATCGTTACACAGACACTATTTGTGGAATGGATTTGGCCATAAAATTGAATGACCTTTTCAATACTACTAATTCATTGCTATTATACTTGTGATTTAAAAATTAAACACTTGTTGCTTAGCACTTTCAAGCCATGGCCACTATTTCTCTGCATTTAGCCTGTGGTTGATCTGGAGACATAAAAAATATTGAACAAACAAAATATTTCACTATGGTGATTTTGAATTTGTTGAAATCTCTTCACAGCTACTATGTCTTTTCTATATGTGAGGAGACCCAGAGAAATTAAGGGATTTGCCTAAAACGATACAACCCTTAGCTGCAGAGCCAAACAGAATTTAGGATTCTTGATTCCAGCCCCAAAGGTAAGAGGCATTTTGATGGAGGGGAAGCAGTATTAGGCTGAGACTTGGATTCCTGTCCTAGCCTTGCTTCACCTCTGTGGGACTCAGTTTTCTTCCTCCAGAAAAAGACTTGCTGCACAGTGCTGGCAATCACTATTGCTGAGTGATTGTAGCATATTGACCCCTCACTATGTGCCAGGCACCCTTTACAATTTGACTCTGGCCACTGCCTAGAAAGGTGCAGGCTCCAGAGTCAGGCAGGCGTGAGTTCAGTCTGTAGCTTCTTCATTCACTAGCTCTGTTTCCTCGAGTAAACGGACTTCTCCATGGCTCAGTTTCCTCGTCTACAATGGAAGTAATAATAATTCCTAGTTCATGAAATTGTTGCAGAACTTAAAGAAGATAATGCATGTAAATGAAATGCTGTTCTTGGTGCATAGGAAATGTTCAGTAAATACGAGCTGATCTCATTTTGATTCTTTTGTTATTAATACTCATAGTAGAACCGGGGCATGAGACAGCAGAGCTTCTGAAGACCTGCCTGGTTCTGCCTGACCCCCGACTACGCTCTGGGGATAATGTCACCCTCCTTCTCCTTAAATTCCTCCTGTAGTGATGAGTCCTGCATGTAGCTAATTTACTGACAGGTGATCCATCATCAGAATGATAGTTCATTATTTTAAATTAGTCAGGATTTAAATGACTTCCCACATAGTCAAGAAAATTCACTTGGAATTCTAATGGAAATTTTATATTTCCCTTTTAGTGTATTCATGATCCTTTAAAAGATTGATTGTTTGGGAGTATGCATTTGAAAGTTATCTGAAGAAACAAATTTAGGGTATTCTGGGACAATGTGGGCATACGGTTTGTCACTCTATATTTAGAGGAACTACTGATTAAACTGCAAACTCTTTTTATAGGTTTAAGAGGCAAGACTGGACCTCTGGGCCTTGCCGGAGAGAAAGGAGACCAAGGGGAGACTGGGAAGAAAGGACCCATGGGCCCAGAGGGAGAGAAAGGAGAAGTAGGTCCAGCTGGACCTCCTGGGCCAAAGGGAGACAGAGGAGAACAAGGGGACCCAGGGCTGCCTGGAGTTTGTAGATGTGGAAGCATCGTGCTCAAATCTGCCTTTTCAGTTGGCATCACAACCAGCTACCCAGAAGAAAGGCTACCGATTATATTTAACAAGGTCCTCTTCAACGAGGGAGAGCACTACAACCCTGCCACGGGGAAGTTCATCTGTGCTTTCCCAGGGATCTATTACTTTTCTTACGATATCACGTTGGCAAACAAGCATCTGGCCATTGGGCTGGTCCACAACGGGCAGTACCGGATAAAGACCTTCGACGCCAACACAGGGAACCATGACGTGGCTTCGGGGTCCACGGTCATCTATCTCCAGCCGGAAGATGAAGTCTGGCTGGAGATCTTCTTCACCGACCAGAACGGCCTCTTCTCAGACCCGGGCTGGGCAGACAGTTTGTTCTCCGGATTTCTACTGTACGTGGACACGGATTACCTAGATTCCATATCAGAAGACGACGAGCTGTGACCAGGACAGCCGAGCAGAACATTCCAAAACCCTTGGGGGACATGCTTTTTGACTCAGTCTGGGGCCCTGGGAGGTGGTGAAAAACAGAAGTGAAGTCCAAAGAGACTCCCACTCAGATTCCAGAGCATTTACAGCCAGCTCTAGCGGAGCCTATTAAAATAAGATGAACCGCCAAACTGTGGAAAGCAAACCAAAATGAATTCTATAAAACAATAACCCAGGATATGAATTCTCTTGAAAACAGTGTTTATAAATATTTAAACAAATGCAAGACAACGTTAATAAAATTTTTATTAAATTCCCTGAGTGATAACACCACCTGGAAATGATATTGCCTCATTAAATCTTCATAAAATTACATGTTTGCCTGTTAGTTAAAAGAATCATAACATCTCAGACAGTCTTTGATAATTCTCAAAAGGCTATATAGTTAGTCAGAAACCAAAGGTAAGCAGTACTGAGTAATTTCAAGCAAGTTAAAGTGAAGTCATAGTTTCCTTTTTAGTTATTTCTTCTTTCATGCTTGGATGTAAAGTGCAGAGTTTATTCTTATACTGTTACTTATTTATTAATTACTATATTTGAAAGCGGCTACAACTGTAAATCTAATTTTGCCCCACCTTGTATATTTATTCAACAACTCTCTAGCTAAGCCTGTAGGAACCAGACAGACACTATGGTGCTGGGTCAGATGTAATAATGAGTTAAGACAAAGTCCCCACCTTCGCACAGGCTCGCGTGTGATGATCCTATTGTCACCACTCCATGTGAGGGACCACCAAGGCAAACAGCAGACTGACTCCATGAGAGCCAGAAAACGTGGAAATACATTATGTGTGCCCAAGTGTGTGTGTCTCTAGGTAGATGGAAAAATATGCAAAGAAAATAAGGCATACAGTGGTGGCGTGCTTCCCACGCCATCCTCAAAGCACCGTTGGTATTTGCAAACAGGAAGGTGTGAAAACCCGAGAAACGGAGGAGGCCTAGGAGGGGTAATGGAAACAAAGAGAAGCAAGTTCCTGAGCCCTGGTTCTCCAGAGCCCATCAGCTTGACAGTTTCCCAAGACAAATACGTACCCTCTTAGCGTTCTCACAGATAAGGGAATTTCTTTCCACTGTGGTAAGGACATTGTGTCTGATGGATTTTCTAGGTATTGAATTCAGATAAAGCAAAGTGTCCACAGATTTATGAGGGAGCTGATAGGAGGGGTGAGCAGGAGGGAGAGGGAGGGAGACCAGATGGCTGAGCAGATAGCTGTCCCTTCCAAGTCTCTCACCCCCCGGTCCCACACTCCCTTGTGTCAGCCCCGTGTTTCCCACTGCACCGCAACTCCTCAGTGAGTCTCACCCGTGATTCTGTCATCTGCCACTCCCTTGGCTGACAGCAACAGCACTCCCTTAGTCTCTCCTTTTTGTATCGTCCAACCCTCTTTCCATGCATTCCTCTCTCTGATCTTTCATTTAATAAAAATTTTAATGCTTCTTATGTGTGAATTGTCACGGTAGGTTCTTTGAAGGTGAAGGAACAACAAGATAACAGTGGCACAGTCCCTGCCATTTGAAATGGTACAAGAAAAGAAAAGCACCCTGGCTGACGTAGCTCAGTGGATTGAGCGGGGGCTGCGAACCAAAGCATCGCAGGTTTGATTCCCAGTCAGAGTACATGCCTGGGTTGCAGGCCACGGCCCCCAACAACCGCACATTGATGTTTCTCTCTCTCTCTTTCTCCCTCCCTTCCCTCTCTAAAAATAAATAAATAAAATCTTTTTTAAAAAAGTAGGAGTATAAGAAGTGACCTTTAAATTCCTTGGTTGGAAAAAAATATTTAAAACAAAAAGGAAAGAAAAGCAAGCACATGCTAAAATACGCTAAGCACTAAACTGAAATAGAGACAAAATGCTGTGGAAGGAATGCTCAGGGGGAAATGTTTAGTCTCACATTAGGAGGTGAGAGAGGAGAGCTAGGGAAGTCTCTGTTCCCTGGGCCCAAATTGATGGGCAGAAGTTGGAGCAATCAAACTAGGGGAAAGGGCACTTGAGACAGAGATAATGGGACAAATCATGAAAGTGAGAACAGGTAGCCAGAGAAGGAATCTGGGAGCCATATTTGCAAGAACCTTGAATGCCAACCTGAGGGTTGGGGCATTTGTTTATGAAAAAACGTGGAGCCCCTGTGTGTTCCAGAGCTGGGTGCTGCCACTGGCAGAGGTGAAGTTCACAGTTACTGAGCAGCTGTGTGTAAGGGCAATGCCTGCTTCTCCCATCTTCCAGGCCTACCTTGCTTCTGTCATCAGCCACTGCCTCTGATCCTTTATCCACTGGTCCCTCTGTTTCTGAGTCAAGACATGGGTCTGGCAGACCCAGGGCAACAGCCCTTACACAAAGACTGAGCAAAAGTGGTTCAAGGTAGTCACCTGCCTGCACATATACCTGAACCAAGAATCCCAAACTATAAACTGTGCAAATCTGCCAACAGAAGAAGCTAATCTGGGCCCTTTGAAGACTATGGAATTTGCTGGAAAAACTAGAAATAGAGAAGTTATTGTTGATAGTCATGACCAAGGAGATTATTATGTAATTTAAACTTTTTTCAATCATGATCCATTAATGCAGTCATTTTGGGGACATTGTTTACTTGCTTATATTTTAAATATTTCCATCACCTTCATTAAAAAGCCTACTTTGAGTAGATTTTTAAACTAAAAATTCTTTAGCTTATTCTAGACCTGGAGGTAAATTTTATTTTGAAATATCTGGTGGGATGAGTTTGGGGGTCAGAGAGCTGAAGTGGAAAATGAAAGGCTATTTTAGCATTAAAGTGATAAACTTTTAAGCAAATGTAGGTGTCTTTTATTCCTTAAAAAATACAAATACATTTTATCCACATTTATGGATATTTATGGAAAGGAATTAGAAGAGCAATTTTGGTTTAAAACATTCCAAGCCTCGTTCCAATCATTCTTATTAAGGGCTGACTTGGAATGGATATGCATTAAGAAATATTTATTACTAGATATTATCTCATTCCAGAATGATCTAAAGCCACTTACAAAGATAGACACAATACCGAAAGAACACATGAGCCAGAGCAAGTGAGAATAAAAGAGCAAAACAAAGAAGAAAGAGTGAGGCTGATACAAAACTGCATGTAAATGCACTTGTACCTGTGTTACACGTTTATAGGACACGTGTGTTTCCTTGTACCTGCTGCGTGTCCAGATAACTTATTATTGTGAATGATGTTGCTTTTGGTGAAAAAAATTTCATCAACTCACCCTGGCTGGTGTAGCTCAGTGGATTGAGCACAGGCTGCGAACCAGCCATCACAGGTTCGATTCCCAGTCAGGGCACATGCCTAGGTTGCAGGCCATGGCCCCCAGCAACCGCACTTTGATGTTTCTCTCTCTCTTTCTTTCTCTCTCCCTTCCCTCTCTAAAAATAAATAATAAATAAAATCTTTAAAAAAAATTCCATCAACTCTGAATACACATGCAATCCATATTTTTTTTCTGATATTCATACCCAGCTGCCATCTGAAGGACCACCCTCACTCACATCCGAGGTCTTTGAGCTTCCAAGTGGAATTGATGCCTGCAGTATGTAAACCTCAGGCCTGACCCATCAGAGCTAACATTTCTCTCACCCAAAGAACTGGAGCAGGTGACTCAATCAGAGCCAATGAGGTTTGGTTGGACTTTTACAGGAAGTAAATCTCATTCTCCTCTACCGGACTCAAGCCTGTGAACCTCTACCAGCTGCCTTACCATCACAAATCAGACCATTTGAGAATGGAGCCATGCACGGCTGAAGCAAAGAAATGGAGATAAAGGCGGGGGGAATAGGTCTTGGAGTCATAATCTGAACCCTGATCTGGACATGTCTGCAGCCATCCCTTCGTCTGAACTTTTCAGTTATGGTAACCATTAAATGCTATTTTTGCTTAGGCTTTTTTAAAGAGAGTATTTGGACACTTGCAAAAGATGTTACCCTACCTAATACTTTTTTTTATTTTATTACTTATTTTTATAGACAGGGGAAGGGAGGGAGAAAAAGAGGGAAAGAACAAAGATCTCATCCAGCGTGCTCCTCAACTGGGGACCAGGCCTGCAACTCGGGCGTGTGCCTTGATCAGGAATAGAACTAGTGACCGTTCACTTTGAGAGACAATGCTCAACTAACTGAGCCACGCTGGCCAAGGCTACCCTACCTAATATTAGCACAAACACCCTTTAGCAAAGCACGCTAAGCACTTTTGGGATCTAGCCTCTGCCTGCTTTTATAGTCCCATCTCCAGAGTTACCCACATGCAACCTGCAATGCAAACAGACGCAGAAAACTGCAGTTCTGGGCGCCTTGCTCTCACATGCCTCGGACCCTGCAAACATGCTGTTTCCTTTGTTCGTAACACCATCGCTGTCCTTGTCTGGCTGACTAGCTCATCTTCTAAGGATCAGCTTGAAAGTTAACTTTCTTTTTTCTTGCCCTGTGCCCAATGGGAATCACCGGTGACCTTGTGTCTGTGTGTCTTCCCTACCACCCGGGATTTAGTGTACAGTCACGGTAGCAATGGCAGGCACTTACTGAGTATTCTTTCAAGTGTTTTACATGTATTGTTAGTTCACTTTGACCTTCTACTTATTCTCTCCACTTTACAGACGAGGAAACTGAGAGACAGAGAGGACAAGAAACGTGCTCAGTAAATAGTACGTGGCACAGTAGACCTGGGCAATCTGGCCCCAGAGCCCATGTTCCTAACCACCATGCTGGGTCCTTATCCTGTTTCACGCTCGTGGCACAATAGTGCCATCACTGTATTCCTGAGATATTTCCGGGACTATACGCAATGCCCGCCACGATATATGCTCAATAAAAATGTGATGAGCTAGTCAGTCACAAGTTCTTTTCAGTCACAATTGTTACATTCGGAAGAAGAGAGAGACCACAATAGAAAAGCCCCATGCTCGTCCTGTGCATTCATCAAGAATCTTGAGATGACGAAGGCCAGAATACAACTCCAGCTGGCTCAAGGCAGAGGGCACTCACGGAAACAACCTAAAATTCTAGAGCCAGATCTGGGCGCTCATCCACTGTCACCGGGATTTTATCTCCCACCCCAATGAAGCTGCTCTTGCCAGTGCAGACGTCCCCTTCAGGCAGGCTCTCTGGGGCAAAGACAGCCACTAGGAAAACAATGCATATGCTTCCCTTTCTCTTTCTCAGTAGTCCCAGCAGAAGACCTGGGGAGGACAGTCTTTCAGTTCTGATTGGTCCTGCTTGAGTCATCCCTCAACCGACGACTGGTCAAAGGGATGCGCTCTCCCCATTGGCCACCCCTATGTAACACGTCTACCCCTAGAGCCAGAGACAGAATCAGTCCTCAGTCACGTGGTCTGGGGGATGGGGAAGAGGTTGCTCCCCAAAGGAACATAAAGGTGCCAGGTCTAGAAGAGGAGAGTTTGGGTGATGGACAGTCAAAAGCAACAGGTGACTTCTATGGGCTGTTTCCACATGAAATCAAAAGCATGTTTATTTTTGTCTGCATGATGCAAAATAAATGTGTTACTAGGATAACTTTCTTCTGAGATAATCTAATTTTTTGTGTTATTTGCTCAGAATTGACCAAATATTTTGGACTACCCGAACCTGGCCTCTGTGGTGATCTCACGCTATAGGCTGTCATAATGTCGCTTCCCACCGACGCTTCTCGTGAAAGAACGTGTTATTCTCAGCTACAGTACTTCTTCTCCCCCAACTTTCTGATTTTTTACATCAACACCCTACTAAAGTAACAGTTCATGCAATTATCTTTGGTAATTATGGAAAATAAAAACCGTTCTTGGAGACTAGTCTCTTTCTGGAATCGAAAAAGGACCCATAAATGCAATTCATTGTTTCGTCAGCAGTCACATGACGGGGAGGAGAGATTAAAAAGCCCTTCTAGGTTACCAGCTGCACTGATGTCACATTTTACTTCTGGTTTCCGGAAACACCGTGAATCAGTGCCTAGGGCTGCCCGCAGTGACCATTCTCTCTGTTCCTGCTGAGTGACCGACACCATGCTGCGTCCTTTTAGCACGATGCCTCATTTTATTCTCAGAAAAAGCAGGATCTCTCCCCTCCCCCTCCCCCCTAGAAGGAGGAAGATTGTATGGACGTGTCAGCAGCCTCAGTGCTGGGATATTGATCAAACATGACAAGGAGGTCAAAGTGTTCTTCTCTTTGGAATGTGCCACTCAGGGTCCAGCGTCAGGGCACACTCATAAGTATTGTACTGTGGAGAGTTGAATGGAAGAACTGTATTCAGAGGTGCAGGTGGGGTTGAAGAAACCTAGTCGGGGCGCTGAGGTATCCAAGGATTAGCGACAGCAGGAACTTGTAGCTGCCCCAGTGCCAGAAGGGAGGAAGCCACTGTGGTTGCCGAGTGCAGTGGAGACCTGGAGACGTGGCAAAAGGGACTGTCTTCCAGGAGCCACGCCTGGAGAAGAACCTAGCCACAGCCGGAAAAAAATGCAGAATCA